GAAGCTGCAGAAGACTCTGGAAGGAATGGGGCTGGAAGTAACAGGAGGAGACAGACAGGCTCCCCCTGCTGGCGAGGAAGAGGGTGGAGGTGTGGCTCTTGCTTTCCAGGAACCAAGGAGACCTGCTCACAGAAACGAAGGGCAGAGCCAGAAGGACTGACCTGTTAGTGAGCCTTGTGGCGGAGGCCTGGGGTCTGCCCCTGGCCAGTGGGACGGAACCCACACGGCAGGTAGAGTGACGACTGCACACAGTGTAGGGATGTGGGAGCAGGAATCCAGGTGATGGCCCTGTATTAGGAAACTCCGCAAGATCCGCCACTGGTTCTTTCTGCTTGGGCCACCAGTGGCTCTCCCTTCATCCCGAGCAGTAACTTTCTGAATAAGTTGTGTTAAATTGATCCCTCAGAGACAGGGATCTTAAACAAAAATAAAGGATTTCTCCCCTGCCCCAAGGATAAATGTATAAAAAATATAATGTCTACTGTAAAAATATGGGCAGTATAGAAAAATATGAGTATTATTGCTAATCATTTTCTAATATAGCCTCCTACTCCTATTTCCATGCATTTAAAAACATCAATTTCATAATGTTCATACAATTTTGTATCTTGCCATTTTCACTTAACATAATAACACAAACATTTCTCATGTTATAAAAACTTTTCATAAAGATATTTTAAAGGCACATAAGAATCATATACTATAATATACTTGATTTTCCCTTATTGTTGGATATTTAGGTTGTTTCCAGTTTTCATTATTGCACGTAGTGTTGTAACTTTTAAAAATAAAGTAACGAATAATTCTTGTGCATGAAACATTTTCTATATTTAGGATTATTCCCTTAGAATAAATTCCCAGCAGTGTAATTACTGGGCCAAAGGGAATGAGCATTTATCTCTTCGGCTTGGATACCCTCTGCCAGATTGTTTTTCCAAATGTTCTCCCAAAGTGAGGGAAAGATGCCCTGTATGGTTTCACTTTTCCCATTTTTTCTTAATCTTTGCTAATTGAACAAAAAAATGTAAAAGGTGAGTCATTCTAGTAGCTTTATCTTGTCTCTCCTTTTCATCTGGGAGAGCTGTGTCCCCCGGGGTTCCCTGCCTCACTGCAGGGAGCGGGACAAGGACCTTCTCCTCCCGGAGAGAATTGCTTCCTGATCGGGACCTAAGAAAAAGGCGCGGCCACTGTGTCCTCTTCTGTTTAGCATTTGCGCCCATTTCTCCTGCCGTCCTGGCCTGTGGTTTGGTGGCCAGTACTGATGAAAAGGAAGACCCTCCAGACCACACGGGCTTTTAGAAAGCAATGCGTTCACACATCCCTTCTGCACCTGGGATGAAGCACCTACTACGTGGCTGGCACTGGGCGTCAGCAGTACCAGGTATAGGGAGGGAAATAAGCTCTCCCTGTGCTGTGGAGTCCAGCTGCGAGGGAGAGCGGGAACTCTGCAGAGAATGTGCCGGAGGGGCCAGTAAGTACTTGCTGAGTGAGTCCCTGCTGACTTCCTCCCTGTCCAACACGGAACGTAAAAAGTGATCATAAGTCGAAGGAGCGTTCGGCCTGACAAGGCATCTTCTTCTCTGTGAAGTAGCTCAGGGCACTCGCAGGCCCACAGTAAGTCTCCAGGTCGCAACTGGGAGGGCACAGATTCCTTAGTAAACACATATATATGCCCAGAGTCTTTATGAAGCCTGCAAATGGAAAGCTCAAATTTCCTCAATTGTTTCCTGCAGCACTGCACCCCGATGATTAATATTCATGACGGTAGAGAGATCATATTGCAGCATTGTGATGTGACTTCCAAATTGCCAGTAAAATTAAATTAAATTTAGAACCATTTTCCTATTAAGGGCTGCGCTATTCTATTCTGCTACTTTGCAAACTCACTATTCATGTATTCTGACTCATTCTTATGTTAATTCCCAGTTTTCAGTGATTCTGAATTGGCATTTACTCTAGGATATTCCCAAACTTCATACTTTATTCCCAACCCCTCACTCCACCCCTCACCCTTTGAAATCCCACACTCCATAAATTTTCCAGTTTTCCTTTCTTGATGTTGCTTCCTATAGTTTAGCGTTGGTATCTACAGATCATTTTGTATGTCAGCAAGCTGAAATCCTTTGTACTTCCCAACATTGGTAGGAAGGGCTCTAATGTGGACTCTGTCATACTGAACAACACTGTATTAGTTTCCACTTGCTGCTATAACAAATTACCATTAACTTAGTCGCTTAAGACAACACAAAGTGATTATCTTACAGTTTTCGAGGTCAGAGGTCTGAAATCAATTTCAGTGGCCTAAAACTCAAGGTGTCCACAGGTTGTGTTCCTTCTGGAGGTTTTAGGAGAGAGTCTGTTTTCTTGCTTTTCCTAGTTTCTGGCATATTCCTTGGCTTGTGGCCCTTTTCATCCATCCTTACAGCAAGCAACAGTGGATGGACTGAGTCCTTCTCACACTGCCACTCCTGTGGGCATCTCCTCTGCTTCCCTCTTCCACTCAGTTCTCCTGACTGTCCTGGTCAGTGGTCTGGTGGCTAGTAAGATAATTCAGAATAACCTCTACATGTCAAGATCATTAATTTAATCACATCTGCAAAATCCCTTTTACTATGCAAGTACTGAATATTCATAGGTTCCAGGGTTAGGATGTACACATTTTGGGGGACCATTATTCAGTCTACCACATATGCCAAAGCACAGTTATGTTCCTTCTTTAAAAAAATAATTTTGTGCTTTATGAACATCTGGATGACTAAGAAAAACCATATGCAGATTTATTTTTAGAGTCTTAAATGGACATTTTTACATTCATGTGTTTGTTTGTGTAAGTGACAAATTTAGGAACACGATTTATTCCCAGTATTTTATTGTTTCATTAAAATCACCTCTCTGGAGTCTTTAGCCAGATAACAACTCTGACCTTTTCCCATGTTACAGCAGATCCTCCCTTCCCGGTGGGGTCAGCTCACTGCTGCAAGAGGATGGAGACTCCTTTCTGCCCTACACAGTTCTCTGTCCCCCAGCCCAGCCAGAGGCAGGTCTGCGTACGCACACCCATCACAGTGCAGGCTGTCTCTGAGGAAGGGCCGAGGAACACATGAGTGGCATTGCCCGTTGGACCATGAATGCTAAGATCAGTGGTTGTCAACCTGCTGGCCTTTTAAGTACAGTTCCTCATGTTGTGACCCAACCATAACATTATTTTCGTTGCTACTTCATAACTGTAATGTTGCTACTCTTATGAATCATAATGTAAATATCTGATATGCAGGTTGGTCTTAGGCGACCCCTGTGAAAGGGTCGTTCGACCGCCAAAGGGTTCGCAACCCACAGGTTGAGAACCACTGGATTCGATGTTCTCTGTGATCTTGAAGGTGAGGGAACACTGAATTTAGGGATCCATCAATGGGACCACAGCACTTCCAGGGAGAGAATGTAGGAAGAACATGGAGGTCAACTGTCCCCGCTTCTGTTCTCAGAAATTAACGGAGACTCTTGAAATAATGATAGGATTGCCATTGGTTAGGAATGATCAGTGTATCCAAAATGAAGATGAAGTGGGAACCAAGGGAAGAATTGGCATGTGAAAGTTGACATCTTGGTTAATCTTTCCTTGCCTCTCTCTTTTTCAATTTTGCTTTTCCTTCACTTTCTTGAGCAAGTTACTTAATCTCCCTGTTCATTGTTTTCATAATTTGTGAACTGAAACTAATTATAGCACCGGACTCACAGGTCATTGTAAGGGATAATTAGTTATTACAAGTAGAGCTCCTAGAACACTGTCATGGATTATTACT